CGAGAGGTAGAGCACTGGCTTTGAGCTGAAGAGCTCAGGGACAGTGCCCAGACCCAGAGTTCAAGCCCAATGACCAACAACAACAACAATAATAATAAGGCCAGGCACTCATGGCTCACGCCTGTAATCCTAGCTACTCAGGAGGCTGAGATCGGAGGAGGAGGATCGCAGTTCAAAGGAGGAGGAGGATCGTGGTTCAAAGATAGCTCGGGGAGGAAAATCTGTGACACTCTTATCTTCAATAAACCATTCAGAAAACTGAAAGTGGCACTATGGCTCAAGTAGTAGAGCACTAGCCTTGAGCTGAAGAGCTGAGGGACAGTGCCCAGGCCCAGAGTTCAAGTCCACAACCAAAAAAAAAAAAGAAGTCACAGACTTTCCTGCCCAGGCTGGTTTGATCCGCAATTCTCAATCTCAGCCTCATGAGTAGCTAGAATTAATAGGCATAAACCACCAGTGCCTGGCCATAATTACTTTATATTCTACAAAAATAGCACATTTTGCCAGGTGTCAGTGGCTCACTCCTATAATCCTAGCTACACAGGAGGCTGAGATCTGAGGATCATGTTTCAAAGCCAGCCCGAGCAGAAAAGTCTGTGAGACTCTTATCTCCAATAAACCACTATAAAACCAGAAGTGGTGCTATGGCTTGAGCAGTAGAGCGCTCACCTTGAGCTGAAGAGCTGAGGGACAGTGCCCAAGCGCAGAGTTCAAGCCCCACGACCAACAACGACAACAACAACAACAACAACAACAAACAGCACATTTTCAAGTCTCTGCCCCAGATCATGCTAGTCCCCTACCTGCTATGTCATCCCATCCTGGACCACGCCACCACTCTTTTTTTGTCGGTTATGGGGCTTGAACTCTGGACCTGGGTGCTGTCCCTGTGCTCTTCAGCTCAAAGAGAGCTCTCTACCACTTGAGCCACACTGCCACTTCCGACTTTCTAGTGGTTTATTGGAGATAATAGTCTCAAGGACTTTCCTGCCTGGGCTGGCTTTTGAAACGTGATCCTCAGATCTCAGCCTCCTGAGTAGTTAGGATTACAGGTGTGAGTCACCGGCGTCCAGCTACCACTTTTTTTTTTTTTTTTTTTGGCCAGTCGTAGGGCTTGAACTAAGGTCTAGGCATCATCCCTGCCCCTCTCTGTGCTCAAGTCTAGCACTCTATCACTTGAGCTACAGAGCCACTTCGAGCTTTTTCTGTTTATGTGGTACTAAGCAATTGAACCCAGGGTTTTATGCATGCTAGGAAAGCACTCTACCACTAAACCATGTTCCCACACAATGCTACCACTCTACACAGAAAACTCTAAGGTTTCTTCATGACTTAGGTCAAACACATCTTTCTCAATATCTTATCTGATGTCCCATCAACATAGTTACTTTATACAAACCTTCCCTTTGTTACTTATTACAAAAGTATGAGGAATATGAGTTTGAATCTCAGTTATTCAATTTACTAGCTGTGCAACTATGGTTTCTGTGCACAAAATGGCCCTGACAATCCTAACCTCTTGGTATTTATAGCCTTTGTCTCAGTCTGTTTTGTGTTTTTATATAGAATAGCACTGACTGAACAGTTTTAAAGGAAGAATTCACTTCTTACAGTTCTAGAAATTGGGAAGCCCAAAATCAAGGTGCTAGCATCTGACAAGAGTCTTCTATGTATCACCCTATAATGACAGGTAGAAAGACCAAGAGTATGTGGGCACTCACATACATTCACACACAAATAGAAAGAACAGAGTGAGGTAAGAGTGAAGGGAGAACACAAGTGAACTGATAATCTCCAGCTCTAGTCCTTTTATAATTGGATTTAGTATACACCTTCCTATACACTTGAATTAGGGTTTTTTCTGCCAGTCCTGGGGCTTGATCTCAAGGCCTAGGCTCTGTCCTTGAGCTTCTTCTGCTCCAAGCTAGCACTTTACCATTTGAGCCACAGTGCCACTTCTGGACTTTCTGAAGTAGTTTATTGGAGATGAGAGTCTCATGGACTTTCCTGCCAGCGTGGGCTTCAAACATCAATGCTAAGATCTCAGCCTCCTAAGTAGCTAGGATTATAGGCATGAGCCCCCCATGCCCAGCTTGGGTTAAATTTCAAAATATAACTTTTTGGAAGAGGACACAGCCAAACCATTGTACAGTTCCTTTGCAATATAAAAGAACTGATTCATGTGATCAAAAGAAATAGCATGTCACTTAGGATTAGGTTATAAAAAAAAAATACTATGGCTTCCATTGGAGGTTCTCACACTTCTTTATTTCTTGGATTACCTGCTTTGGAAGAGGCAAGTTGCCATGTTGAGCAACCCTATGAAGAGGTATGGGTGGCAAAGAATTGAAGCCTGACAAAAACTAACTTTGCTTGAATGTAGGTTCTCCAGCCCCAGAAGACTCTTAAGATGCCTAATGCCTCAGCTAACACTTTGACTATAAGCCAGATATAGTGGCACAAGCCTGTAATGTTACCACACAGAAGGCTGAGGCAAAAGGATCGAGCTTGAGGCTATCCTGTACTGTATAGCAAGTTACAGGTCAGTTGGCACTACCTAATAAGACCCTGTCTGGAAAAAAAGTAAAGTGTTAGCCCTGTAGGAGAATCTATGCCAAAAATATCAGTTGAGCTGGATTCCTAAACCAAATGAACATTTGTTTTAAACCACTTGTTGAGGGCTAGTTTGTTATACAGTAATATGTAACTAATACACTTAGAAGCAAGACTCTCTCAAAAAAAATAGTCATGTACTGGTGGCTCATGCCTATAATCCTATCTACTAAGGAGACTGAGATCTGAGGATTGTGGATTGAAGCCTGATCAGACAGGAAATTTCATGAGATTGGTATTTCTAATTAACTACCAAAAAAGCTGTAAATGGATCTATGGCTGAAATGATAGAGCACTAGCCTTGAGAAAAAAAAAACAAAAAACAACAAACTCTGGGACAACACCCTATCTCTGAGTTCAAGTCCCAAGACCAGCACACACACAAAAATAACAACAACAAAATTTTTAAAACTAGAACATGAGATAATCTATTAACAGTGAAGCAAACATAATTCCTAAGGAACTGAGGTTCTGAGACTCCATTTAAAATAAGCAAACTAGGAGCCAGTGGCTAATGCCAATCCTCAGGAAGCTAAGATCTGAGAATTGTAGTTCAAAACCAGCCCAGGCAGGAAAGTGTGAGACTCTTATCTCCAATTAACCACCAGAAAACCAGAAATGGCACTGGGGCTCAAGCAGTAGAGCGCCTGCCTTGAGCTGAAGAGCTGAGGGACAGCACCCAGGACGAGGGTTCAAGCCCTGCAACTGGTCAGAAAAAAGCAGAAAATTAATTTGTTTCCTTTATCTTTCAACAAAAAAATAAGGATCAGATTTACTTCTTCTTCTTCTTTTTTTTTTGGTTGGTCGTGGGGCTTGAACTCTGGGCTTGGGTGCTGTCCCTGTGCTTTTCAGCTCAAGGCAAGCACTTTACCACATGAGCTACAGCGCCACTTCCGGTTTTCTAGTGGTTTATTGGAGATAAGAGTCTCATGGACTTTCCTGCCCAGGCTGGCTTTGAACCGCGATCCTCAGATCTCAGCCTCCTGAGTATCTAGGATTACAGCCAAGAGCCACTGGCGCCCGGCTTCAGATTTACTTCTAAACATTAAAAAAAGAAAGAAAGAAAGAGAGAGAGAGAGAGAGGAAGGAAGGAAGGAAGGAAGGAAGGAAGGAAGGAAGGAAGGAAGGAAGGAAGGAAGGAAGGAAGGAAGGAAGGAAGGAAAGGAAGGAAGGAAGGAAGGAAGGAAGGAAGGAAGGAAGGAAGGAAGGAAGGAAGGAAGGAAGGAAGGAAGGAAGGAAGGAAGGAAGGAAAAGTTAACTCTAACCTACTTATTCAAAACTAAAATTTATGTCGTTTTTCTAGACCTAGAAAGTAAAGACTGTATGTAGTCTATATATAATCAGGAAAACTAGAGATCCATTCATGTAAGTCTTCCTTAAATCTTAGACCTGGTTCTGGAATAAGGCAAACCAAGCAATCTTTCTGTGAATCAAAATGCTTTCTTGCCCAAAAAGTGGAGGTACGAATTCTATTGTCAGATTTAACTGAGCTGCTTTTAAAGAAAAAAAGGAGACACATTTGGAATCACAGTGATACAGCACAGCTATTTTGGAGTATTAAAGAGAAGTAAAATAAAGAAACAGCAAAGGAAAGAGAAAATCTTAAAACCTAAATTTTTTGTTTAATCTTTAAGTAGTTATACAAAGGAGGTACCATTTAACAAAGCAGTTTATGAATTAATATATGTTGATCATACCTTCTACATTCTCACCCTCCTTTGACATACTCCTTCCCTTATTTTTCTTAATTTTGTGGTATATGCAATGAATTATTTACTGCACTCTCCTCCCTTTTCCCCCTAGAGTTCAAATCCCAGGAATGACACAAAGAAAAAAAGAGAGAGAGAAAAGAAGAAAGAGTTAAAGAAAGGAAAGGAGGGGCTGGGAAAGTGGCTCAGTGGTAGAATGCTTGCCTTGCATGCATGAGGTCCTCAGTTCAATTCCTCAGCACCACATAAGCAGAAAAAGCCAGAAGTGGGGCTGAAGCTTAAGTGGTAGAGCGCTAGTCTACAGCTGAAGAGCTGCGGGACAGCACCCAGGCCCAGAGTTCAGGCCCCACGACCGACAAAAAAAAAAAGCATACTCGCACCAAAAATTTCCTATCACTTGGTTCTTCAAAATATATTTTCACATACTCACTGGGCACCAGCGACTCACTCTACTCAAGAGGCTGAGATCTGAGGATCATGGTTCAAAGCCAGCCCAGGCAGTAAAGTCCATGAGTCACTTATCTCCAATTAACCACCAGAAAACTGGAAGTGGTGCTGTGGCTCAAGTGGTAGAACACTCGCTGTGAGCTGAAGAGCTCAGGGAGGGCACCCAGGCCCATATTTCAAGCCCCACAACTGACAAGACTGTACTAAACAGTAACAAATCTTAGTACTTACACATAGAGATCCATAGGAAACTCTTTCATCATGTGTGTTACAATAAACTCTACCATCAGGTCTGAAAAAGGAAAGAAAAGAAATTAGAATAAAATTCATTCTTTGCCTTTGGGTTGAAAAAAAATTTGTGAAAACTATACACTTTGTACTGGGCTGAATACATACACCTGTATTAAACAAGCACTTAGACATGTTTTGTTGGTGGTGGTGATGGTCATGGTGCTTGAATTCAGGGCCTGGGCGCTATCTCTGAACTTTTTTTTGCTCAAGGCTACTGCTCTACTATTCTGAGCTAAAGCTCCAATTCCAGTTTTTAGGTGGTAATTGGAGATGAGAGACTCGGGGCTTTTCTTGCCCAGTCTGGTTTCCAATTGTGATCCTCAGATCTTAGCATCCTCAATAGCTAGGATTACAAGCATAAACCACCAGCATCTAGCCTTACAGGATACTTTTTGCAACACTGTTCATCACTTGCTACTTGGAAATTAATAAGTACTTAACTCTCCTACTTCCAGAAGACCTGCCAATAAACCAGATATAAGGGAAATTTCATTGTACAAGTATTTCATACCACTAATGCACTAAGTACAATGCCAGAGGGAAATCATATTCTGAGACTAGAGCAATGAGACAAGCAGAAAAGAAATTATGGATCATGTCCATGCAACCAGAGACTCAGCTATAAAAGCTCTGTCAATCTATCCCACTTCACTATCACGTTGTTTGACAGATACTGACTGAAATGGTCCATGGGGCTTTGAGTCAATAGAGGTTTATTATACAGTCTTAATTACTACTTTTAAAATCAAGTAGACTTAGGGACTAGGGCTGAATATCCAAGTTAAAATGAGATTAAGAGTTCCAGCTAATTCTTTTAAGGGAAATGCTGAGTTCTGAGCAGTCAAAATTATTCAAAATACAGTCCCTACCTGTCAGCTCTGTTAGCCCCATCTCAGCTTCATTTATTCAGGGGAAGTTTTGTAATGCTGACTACCTGATATATCAATTTGGAACAAGAAATAAGGTAAGATATTGAAATCTTGATCAGGAGTAAGGTATTTAACAAAGCTAAATCATGTATCAAGTTTAAACATACTCATTTGTATCTTTGGAAAGGTTATTCTTTGAATACTACCATTTTATTGAGCATTCTATATTCATTATGTTTACTTTGCCAAACATAACAATAATCATGGTTCCTAGGGCCAAGGAAGAAACATAAATAGTAACTTCTCTAAGGAAGAAGCACATTAACCAGAATATTAATCATGAAAACCTACCATTACCTCAGAAAAATGTCAGTTTTGAAGATACTCACCCAGTACTGCACACACTAAAGGACGGCAGGGAAGGTTCTTGTCTGCTGCCTTCTTCCTGTGTCTCATAGGCTTCATGTAAACACAAAGAAAGGAAATTAGCAGACATGTCAACTGATAGGCAATGGCTCATCATCATGTTTCTCATGCAAAAAATAATTACTATAGAGATGCTACTTTTTCTTTCCCTTTTTCTAGTGGTTAGGGTAGGGTAGGGTAGAGAAGACTTGTTAATGCTTCTTTTTTTTTTGGTCAGTCATGGGCTTGAACTATGGGCCTGGGTGCGGTCCCTCAGCTCTTCAGCTCAAGGCTAGCATTCTACCACTTGAGCCACAGCGCCACTTCTGGCTTTTTTGTTTTTTCTGTTTATGTGGTGCTGAGGAACCAAACCCAGGGCCTCATGCATGTGAGGCAAGCACTTTACCTCTGAGCAACCTTCCCAGTCCCTTGTTAATGCTTCTAAGTTATCAATGCAGGTCTGTGACACAAATATAATTCACAGAAGAGAATAGCCCACAGGGTATTGATGCAAACTACAAGAGAGCTGATGGTTTTTCTTTCATTTTACCTATATTGTATAGTAACTGTCCGCCCCTTTGGTACTGGAAATTAAACAGGGCTTTGCAATATTCAAGGAAGCCATTCTACCACTGAGCTACATCCCAGCCCTGAAGTAGAATTATTAACACAAACAATGCACACTAGAATTTTTCTTTGATATTAAAATAATTAGAAAAACAAGAGGTTATGATAGTATTAGCTAAGGAAATAGAAATAGTACTGGCTGCAAAATAAAAGTTAAGTCTCAAACTTAAACTTTACTACATTTTTAAACAATATACCTCCAGCATTCAAGATATTACCTGACCTTCCATATTCTATTTACCCTACCTCTCAGATGAATAAATCAAAGCAGCACCTCATTTTGGCCAATCAAAAATGATACTATGCCAAGATATGGAAACAAGAGGTTTTTCTTTGTTGTTGTTTTAATGTACTGTGTGAAGTTATTTCCTTTTTTTTCTTTTTTTCTTTGTAGGTTGTGGTGCTTAACTCTGGGCCTAGGCACTGTCCCTCTCAGCTCTTTAGCTCAAGGCTCGCATTCTACCACTTGAACCACAGCGCCACTTTCAATTTTCTGAGTGGCTTATTGGAGATAAGAGTCTCATGGACTTTCCTGCCCAGCCAGGCTGAACCGTGATCCTCAGATCTCAGCCTCCTGAGTATCTAGAATTACAGGCATGAGCCACCGTCACCCGGCAGTTATGGATTTTTCTAACCTCTCTTGGGCAAGTAACAGCTCTATGACACACAAAAAATTAACCAGGGCTAGGCATGGATCTGTTGAATAGCAGTCACACATGAATCTTTTTGGCACAATTTCCCAGTTGCATTTGTTCTCCCAATTTCATCCCAACTCTTCCAACACCAAAAAAAGAAAGATCCAAGATTCCCTAAGAAAAAACAAGCAAAAGTCACACCTACCATTCTATGTAAGTTTACTCGAAAATTCATGTTGTCATCATGTAAAAATGCATTGGCATACTGATCCTAATAAAAAACACAGAAAAATGAGGAGTGAGAACTATAGATAAGAAACTCAAGTCTGTAATCTATCATACTTCCCACATATGTTGTACTTTCAATTAGAAAGGTAATGAGGGGCTGGGAAGGTGGCTCAGTGGTAGAGCGCTTGCCTTGTATGCTCTAGGCCCTGGGTTCGATTCCTCAGCACCACATATGCAAAAAGAAAAAAGCCAGAAGTGGCGCTGTGGCTCAAGTGGTAGAGCGCTAGCCTTGAGCTGAAGAGCTGAGGGACAGCGCCCAGGCCCAGACCGGACCAAAAAAAAATAGAAAGGTAATGAATTAAGTGTAGAACCTTCATGTCAAACCCTACTTAAGGCAAGTCATTTTATTTGAGCACAGTCTCCCAACATATCATTAGCTAGTCAAAAATTTCTATGAAACTTATAGACAAAATATTAAGACCTAGGGACTTCAGACAAATGATGAGAGGAATCTGTTTTCCTACTCCCTCTTTTTTTCCATCTGCCCAAGGAGTCAGCTGTATTTTTAACAGCTTAAAGGTTTTCATAGGGGCTGAAGGCCCCATGTCTGGGCTCCACATGAGACTAGAAATAAAAAGAAAGGTCTGTGCTCTGCTAGGAATGAGCTCAGCACAGCAAGAGAAAATGGCTACATAGGCAGCATAGAAGAAGCAAGACCATGTCTATCCCTGGCCTTGCTGAAGAATGATGGAAAATCAAAACCTCATCATGAACTGGCAATAAATATAATGGGTGGCCCTTTCCCAACACCTTTCTGAAGATCTGACATGCCTACAGTCTCCAATTACTAGGAACTGTTACAATTTGTGGGAAGCAATTCCTTCAAAGATTTTTCTTAGAAAGATTTTTGAAAAGCAATTACATCAGTCCCATTGCTAATAAGCAGCTCTTCTATAACCAGCTGTCCCTAGCCTTGTGGAAATGAGGTCACCTTCCCAGAGAGAACATAAAAGGGGGACGGAAGTGTAAGAGTTAAGAATACCGAAAGAGGAGGTTGAAGCTATAAATTTAGTTCTAAATTGGCTCCAGTTTCTACCACACTTGTATGTCACCAAGATCCAGCGTAAGTTTGAATCTAATTACTCCATCTCCAAATGCCTTCTCATAAAGCTAAAGCACCACTGTTTTTACCCTATTGTCTGCCAAAATGCAATCAGTTTTACTCCACATCCCCACCACCAAGAAACCCGATCTCGTTTTTTTTTTCCCCTAAATACAAAAGACCCCACATGAGCAGCTTCAAGAGGAAAAGACTATTTTCCAAAGAGTTTTAGGTCTCTTGTTTAAAATTTTGAAGAGCCAGAATCTTCCAGTTTTCAACTACAGCAGTTATTTTATCACTATCATATCACAATTCATTATTATCTAGTAAATGCTGATTGAACCCACACTTGTATCAGACAATGAGAACACAATAGTGAAGGAGACAAAAGCCCCTGCTATCAGAGTTTGTATTCTAGAAGGATTAAAACAGTACAAAGGGGGAAAAAGTTCTCTCACAAGATTTAGGACCTAAAAGTAATAAAATACAAAGGAATTGACAAGAAGATAACATTCTGTAAGAGATTAGTTAGTACCAGAAGACAGGTGAGACCTACCTCTGCAATACATGTAAGGATAATCAGACAGAGCTTGCCACTGTGAAGCCTGTGTTCATCTGTAAAGGAAAAATAAACTCTATACATCAGCAAAAAGTACCAATAGGAAATAAATGTATATATCATAGCCAGGCATGATAGTGAACCCCTGTAATTCCAGTACTCCCAGTTAGGAGACTGAAGCAAGATGATCATTAAGAACGATGCCAGTCTGAACCATTGCCAGTTCCAGGCCAGCCTGAACTACATAATGAGATTCTGTTTCCAAGAACAAACAATGCATATCATAAAAAGAAACATTTACACTTACCCCACAAAATTTATGAATGAAAATGAGGATACTACTAGAGTAAATCTTGCTTCCCTCCTGTAATCAGTTAAATATGTGCCTGAGAGCCATGTAACTCTTAAAATAGTTTCTACTGTCATGGGCCATGACCTTTGCTTGCAGCTTAGCTCTTTGATTCTGAATGGTGAAATCTATCCTTTTTCTACCCCTCATTTACCACCACCTATACTCACCTAAACAAAATCTAGAATGGTTTTGGGCCTGTTCACAGCAATAAAATTAAAAAGAAATTAACTGGAGACAAAGATTACATACTTCTACCTGCATTGTTCTAATTGCTTATGACCTAGAAAGATGAAAACTCTTTTGCTGTTATGGGGTTTTGTTTGTTCATTTGTTTGGTTTTGAAACTGGGAAATGAACAAAAATCCTTCTGTATGCTAGGCAAGCACTCCACCATTGAGCCACATCACCATTCATTCATTCATTCATTTATTTGTTTCATACTGGGGTTTGAACTCAGGTCTCAGACTGGGCTGGCCCTCTACCACTTTAACCACATTCTAAGCCTTTTATAGCTCTAGTTATTTTTCAGATAGGTCTCTTTTTGTTTTTGCTATTGCTATTCTTTTTCCTCAAACTGTGATCTCTCAGAAAATCAGTTTGAAGGCTGGTCTCAAATTAATTCTCTTCTGCCTCTCAAGTAACTGGGATTACAAGTGTGAGACATAGTGTTAAATCTTTAATTCTCATTTTGAGACAGGGTCTCATTGCTCTTCTCATTGATCTACTAAGATCAAGTGAAAATAGGGTCTTACTACATTGCCCTGGCTGATCTTGAACTCCCAAACTTCCTGCCTCACCTTCAAAAGTATCTGGGATTACAGGCATGAATCACCACACCTGGCAGGTGTAAATTCTTGATTATTTTTTTCCCTAAACATTATTCATTTAGCAAATGAATAACTACTATGTGGCAAGCACTTGCTAGAAATCAGAATCAAATGTCTCCATACTCTTAGAATTCACAATCCAATTAAAAAAGAAGGTGTATGGTTGGGGCATATAGCTCAGTGGTAGAGCACTTACCTAATATACTCCTAAACTATGTTGAATTATAACCCTTTGTACAACTACTTAAAGATAATAAAAATACAATTTAAAACAACAATAATAATGATAATGTGATTCTAGCAGCTAAGGGCTGGTACAGTAGATCAGATACTAAAGAGCTGGTGGGCCAGTAAAGCCACAATGGGCATGTCTGAAAATAATTCTTTGTCATGGCCTTTGCAGTATTTAAGTTGGTTACTGGCAAAAACCAAACCTTGCCTCAGTTCACAGGCTAGGTTTGGTCTTTTGGTTTCAATTCTATGGATGATGAAGTGACCAGAGCAAAGAACCTTATATAATCACAAGAGCTAAAAATGAGTTTCAAGAGCCTCGATTCACTATCTTATATCAAGCAAAACTAAAAGTTCATTTTTTTTTCCTGAGTCACATCCATGCAGCTTCTTTTTTGTATGGTTGCTGCAATATTTCTAGAGAAAGGAAGAGGTTACCCATTTCCATAAAGAAGGAATCGCCTCAGGAAATGCTTATACACAAGAGTCTTGTTATCCTTGCCTGCCAGATTTTACCTGCTAAGTCTAAGGTTCACCCACCTCAGTAACTCCTAATGGAGTTACTATGACTATTCTAGAGGAGTCTGGGACACGAAATATTTGCACCATATAAATCCTAGGTGTAATTTTCTCCCTTGAAAGAACACATTTGCAAGACAAGAGAAGAAAAAAATCTAAGTTTGCAAAGGCAGAAATTTCCAAGAGCTATTGCAATATGTCTGAATATAACATGGTTTAAACTCACCCATCCAGACTCCTTTCAGTTCTGGTAATTCTTCATTTTACCTGTTTATCTTTTAGCTCTCATCTCTATTCACATTTTCTTTCACTCTGAAAACCCCTGAATTTAATTTTACCCCCCTTTCAGATCCATTCTAGAATACCTGAAAATCATCATACCAGAAACTCACTTAATTTGGCAAATAAAAACCTTCTAGAGCAAATATTAAATGCTAAAGAAAACCTTAAAACACCTCACAAGGGCAAGTAAGGAGAAATTACAGCAAGTAAGGCGAGATTAATGTACCTGTCTATAGTGAGAAACCTTGAGTTCAAACCTCAGTACCACTACATAAAGAAGTCAATCCTATTTTAAAAATTTTTTCTTTTTCTTTTTTATTATCTTTAAGTAGTTGTACAATTCAATGTATCAGTTTACAAGTACAATGCATAGGGATCATTGTCACCTTTTGCATCACACATACACACAAACACACACACACTCACACAATCTTTTCCCAACCTCACTTACCCCCCTAAGTGACATAGTTCCATTTTCACATATGTATAATTTTGTTTCTACATTGGAATCAGCTGCTTCCTTATCCCTTTGCTAGTATTAGAGTTTTAACTGAGACTATGTTGCGTGCTACATAGGTGCTCTACCCCTTGAGCCACACTATACCCCCTGCTCTTTTTACTTTAGTTATTTTTAGATAGGATCTTACATTTTTGTGCTGGAGCCAGCCTCAGACCCCTCAATACTTCTACTTAAGGATTCCCACCCGTCTAGGAACTCAGAGCATATCCCATTCCCAGTTTATTGATTGTGACAGGGTCTCAATAACTTTTTGCATTCTGTCCTCAAACCTCAATCCTCTACCTCCTGGGTTGCTTGGATTAGACAGGTGAGCCACTAGGATGAGCCACTATGACATACAGAATTGACTTTTTTGTATCACAGACCATGATTTAAGACCAAACATCATTTGACTGCAAGTTCCTAAAACAGAGTTTTATGAGTTTTACAAATAAGCCTTTAAAAGGAAACATGCCTAATTACTAAGTAAGCCTAGCTACTCAGGCAGAAAAACCTATGAGACTCCATCTCCAAAATGACCAGCACAGGGGTTGGGAAGGTGGTTCAGTGATAGAGTGCTTGCCTTGCATGCACAAGGTCCTGGGTTCGATTCCTCAGCACTACATAAGCAAAAAGAAAAAAGCTGGAAGTGGCACTGTGGCTCAAGTGGTAGAGCGCTAGCCTTGAGCTGAAGAGCTGAGGGACAGCGCCCAGGCCCAGAGTTTAGACCCCATGACCGGACCCCCCAAAAAAAAAAATGATGAGCACAAAGCAAGGCTGGAGGCATGGCTCAACTAGTGAAAGAGCAGAGCAAGCAAGCTCAGTGAGTTTGAGATCCTGAGTTTAAACCCCAGTACCACCATTAAAAAAAAAAAAAAAAAAAAAGCTGGGATAAATGCTATTTATATGCAATATCTAAGCACTCAAATTCATTTAGCCAGAAAGCAGAATTTTGGTTGTCAGGGACTTGGGATAAGATGGGTACTGAGTGTTACTATTTAATGGGTACATAATTCTAGTTTTGCAGGGAGAGAAAAAGTTCTGGAGAGGGATAGTGGTGATGGCTATAAAACAATGTGAATGCTTTTAATGCCACTGAACTGTACAGTGAAAAGTAAAGGCAATGGTCAATTTACTGTATGTATACAAAATTAAAATTATAGAGAAAGAGGCATGGCCCAGTAGTAGAATCCTTGCCTATCAACTGAAAAGCCTTGAGTTCAAATCCTGGTGTCAAAAAAAAAAAAGATTAAAAAAAAAATAAAGTTTCTCAGTTGATCTTTTTTTTTGTCGGTCATGGGGCCTCAACTCTGGGCCTGGGCACTGTCACTTAGTTCTTCAGCTCAAGGATAACATTCTACCACTTGAGCCACAGCACCACTTCCACTGCTTATGTGGTGCTGAAGAATTGAACCTAGGGCCTCATGCATGTAAGGCAAGCACTCTACCAGTAAGCCCCCTTCCCAGCCTTCTCAATTGATCTTTAAAAGTAGGAAAGGGCCTGGAGGTATGGCTCAGCAGCTAAGTACTTGACTAGCAAGGTACAAGGCCTGAGTTCAAACCCTAGCACTAGCTCCTTAAAACACACACACACACCGGTGTGTGTGTGTGTGTGTGTGTGTGTGTGTGTGTGTGTGTGTGTGTGTGTGTGTGTGTGTGTGTGTGTGTGTGTGTGTGTGTGTGTGTGTGTGTGTGTGTGTGTGTGTGTGTGTGTGTGTGTGTGTGTGTGTGTGTGTGTGTGTGTGTGTGTGTGTGTGTGTGTGTTTTTCCCCCTCTTGGTCCTGGGACTTGAACTCTGGGCCTGAGCACTGTCCCTGAGCTTCTTTTGTTCAAGGTTAGCACTCTACCACTTGAGCAACAGTGCCACTTCCAGATTTTTTGAGTAGTTTACTGGAGATAAGAGTCTCAAGAGTGGGCTTTTTGGGCATTTACCCAAATGTTTACAAACAAGACCACACTAAAGCTACCAACACAACTATGTTTATTGCTGCATTATTTACCATAGCTAAGATCTGGAACCAACCCAGATGCCCCTCAGTAGATGAATGGATCAAGAGTGGGGGGGGGGGAGGAGGATGGGAAGGGATGGGAAGGGGAAACAAAGGAGGAGGCTACAATGATTGATAAGAAATGTACTCATTATCTTGCCCACGTAATTGTAAAAGAAAAAAAAAAAAGAGTCTCAAAAATTTCCTGTCTGGCAGGCTTCAAACCATGACCTTCAGATCTTAGCCTCCTGAGTAGCTAGGATTATAGGCATGCACCACCAGTGCCCAATACTGGCTCTCTTTTCACTGTTAAGCCAGCTCATCTACTAGGCTACTACCCTACCACCAATTATGGGGGTGGAGGGGGGGGGGGAGGGATGTTGTTGGCTTTTTGTTGTTCTTGTTGTTGTTGTTTGGTCTATCAAGGGGCTTGAACTCTAGGCCTGGGCGCTGTCCCTCAGCTCTTCAGTTTAAGGCTAGTGGTCTACCACTTGAGCCACAGTGCCACTTCCAGCCTTTTCTGTTTATGTGGTGATGAGGAATCGAACCCAGAGCCTCATGCATGGGAGGCAAGCACTCTACCACTAAGCCACCTTCTCAGCCTCCTACCACCAATTAAAAGGCCACAGCAGGGTGGAGATGGAAGAGAAAAACTGGGAGAAAGTGAGAGAAGGGGTGACACTGTCCAAAAAGAAATGTACTCATTACCTGACTTATATAACTCTAACTCCTCTGAACATTACCTTTATAATAACAATAAAAATAATTTTAATAGGTCACAGCAAAATCATAACAGGAAGAATGAGAAATCAGACAGGAAAAAACCCAAACTTATCCAAGACTCAGCTGGGCACCATGGTGGTACACATCTGGAATTCTAACAACTTGGGAGACTATAGCAAGAGGATCATTTAAGGCCAGCCTAAGACCTTGTCAGGGTGGGCGTGGGTGTCTAACACATAATTCTCTCCTACTTCCATCATGAATTTCTAGGATGAGTACTAACACTTCTATTTTAAGTGTTAAGTCCTCTGAATCTCACCTCTTCCTACTGTACTCTGCCTAACAGTCCTTTAATTCTCACCATAAGATGATGCTTTCAGTTCTTATTCTCAAAAGGGAATTCCCTGAAGTATGCTGATCCCACACACACACTTCCCACACATCAGATTCTGCATCTACTTACCAAAATTTGCTAACACAAGTTGGTAGTTTTTGTAGAGATCAATTTTTTTTTCCTGTTCAGTGTGTGTGTGTGTGTGTGTGTGTGTGTGTGTGTGTGTGTGTGTGTGTGTGTGTGTGTGTGTGTGTGTGTGTGTGTGTGTGTTGCGTGTGCACACCAGGGCAACTAAGGCTTGAACTCAGGGCCTAGGTGCTGTCCTTTAGCCTTTTCACTCAAGGCTGGGGATCTTACTACTTAACCCACAGTTCTACTTTTAGCTTTTTGGTGATTAATTGAAAATAAGAATCTCATGTACTTTCTTGCCCAAGCTGGCCTTGAATCATGATCCTCAGATCTCAGCTCCTGAGTAGCTTGGATTACAGGCATGAGCCACCAGTGCTTGGCTCTGTTATAGTTTTGAACCCTTCCCTCCAATTTCAGACTTTCCAATACCATCTAATCCCTACCTAGCAGTGAGAAGTCAGGTTTTCAGAAACCAGGACCATTACCCTACATAGCAGGTTCCAATTGTTCATTTGTCAACACCTCAAAATATTAACAGTGCATCCAGGCACCAATGGCTCAAGCCTATAGTCCTAGCTACTCGGGAAGAGGATCATGGTTTAAAGCCAGACTAGGCAGGAAAGTCCATGAGACTCTTAACGCCAATTAACCAACAGAAAACTGGAAATGGCATTGTTGCTCAAAATGGTAGAGTGTTAACTGTGAGTAAAAAAGCTCAGGGACGGTGCACAGCCCCTAAGTTCAAGCCCCATGGCCAAAAATAAAATTAAAAATTAAATAATCTTTATAAATATATAAAAAAACAGTGCACTGGCATGGTATACACACCTAAAATCCTAGGTACTCAAGAGGATTATAGGATCATGGTCTAGGACTAACCCTAGCAAAAATTCAAGACTCTATATAAGATAATGAAAGCAAAAATTGGTACAATATATGTGGGAGAGCACCTGCATAACAAGCACAAGGCAAAGTCCAAAACATAAGTAACATCCCCCAAAAATGTTCCTCTTTGATTTTAGCTACTTGTCATACCTCCTACTTTCTGTATTCCCAAAGTAGCATGCCTTACCTTTAGTGTCCTGCATGACAATTGAGCTATACTTTAAGAAGGTTATCAGTAGATTACTGGTCTGTACATCTGCATCCAGTGGGAGTTCCACAGAACTTATAACTAGAATAGAACAGATAAAATGCACTTAGACCATAACACATTCCATCTAACACTTCTACCCACAGCCAATTTGCCAGCAGGCAAGAAAATGACTAAACATGTTTTTGTCACAACAGAGGGAGTCCAAGTACTTATCTTAAAACTTTTATCTATTCTTCTGAGGCATCTAGAGCATTTCCTATTCCCTGAAATCAAGCCTACCAACCTCACACAACTATGGTCAGCCTCCAGAAAGTGCTTTTCTCCCAACATCCTACGAAGCATATACAGATTCCACTTCCAGCTCCAAGTAATCCAAGAGAGTTCAGGGCCCTCTTAAAAGCACTGTGATTTTTTTTTTTTTTTTTTTTGTTTAAGCAAAGATCTGTATTGAATATAAATGAACCTTGCTTTGATGAGTCTCTTGCTTAAAATAAATGAAGAATCCTTCCTAATAAGGAGAAATCTTGTTCAATTTTTGTGAAGTCTTTACACTGGAACCCAAGATAAAGGAGGAAAAAGTTGAGGCAAAACTACATTCAAATTCTGCCCCTTAATCCTCCCCTCCTCCTCAAAGGAGAATCTGAAAAGGAATATCAGATGGTATATATAGGGATATCCTGGGAAGTGTGTTTTATATATTCAACTCTTGTTTTCAAAGTAAATCCCTGGGGCTGGGAAGTTGGCTCAGTAGTAGTGCTTGCCTTGCATACATGAGGCCCTGGGTTCGATTCCTTAGCACCACATAAGCAGAAAAAAGTCGGAAGTGGTGCTGTGGCTCAAGTGGTAGAATGCTAGCCTTGACCTGAAGAGCGCAGGAACAGCGTCCAGGCCCAGAGTTTAGCCCCCACAACCAACAAAAAAATAAAAAATAAATAAATAGGGGCTGGGAAGGTGGCTCAGTGGTAGAGCGCTTGCCTTGCATGCCTGAGGCCCTGGGTTCCATTGCCCAGCACCACATAAGCAAAAAGAAAAAAAGCCAGAAGTGGCGCTGTGGCTCAAGTGGTAGAGCGCTAGCCTTGAGCTGAAGAGCTAAGGGACAGCGTCCAGGCCCAGAGTTCAGGGCCCACGACCGGACCCAAAAAAATAAATAAATCCTTGCCCCACATCTGAATCACAGCCTCTATGAACAATAAAGGACCAGAACAGTATTAACTCTCACAGAATATCCTCTTAATGGAGACTTCCCAAGATTTCAAGGCTTTAATTTGGAATTAGTCATCTTGTTAAATGCTTCTACACTGGCTAAGACATAATATACACAAAAGAGTCTCATGATGGCCAAGACAAACTGGACAATCTATAGCTTTCTACTATAGTTTCAGCCATGAACACTCAGTTAAGTTTGGAGTATTACTCATATATGTATTCATAACCATAATGGGTCCCTCTGGAGTTATTATGATGTAAACAGAGGATGTTTATTAACAATGGGAAACATTTGCATGTTATGGCTCAATAATACATAGCAAGCACCACAAAAAGCCTTATGAGAAGAAATTTGCATGCCCAACCAACCCTTGGCTGTTTTCCCACAGTATAGCCCCCAAGAACTAATAAAAGACAAATCTGTTTTTATGCTAAAATACTAAAAGGTATTAATTCATATTATGGGTTAACAATCTGGGACTGTCATTTCAAACCACAGCCTATTTTGAAGATTAGAGCCCATAATCACATTCCTTTGTCCAATATAAAAAAGCTTCTCACTGGTAAGTGGGACTTTTTTCTACTCACACACAGCAATGACTGGAAAACTATCTTATATAATATGTAGAAATATAGAAGTACATGTATTTTTAGTTTACCAGAAAGTCCTCTCATGCCAAGGCGGAGTTGTCAAATGTCAAGTCTCAACTGAGAACAAATGTTACAGCTAACACTGGCTTTTAAAAAAATGGCTCCAGTGACATACCTTTAAATGTAACTAGGCTACTGAGCTGCACTATAATTAAAAACCAAAAATTAAGAATAAGGTTATAATACTTAGTACCCCTACAGAAAGGAAATGAGTTTGGAGAGGAAAAAAAAACAAACAAGACAGAGACAGAATTAAAATCCCTTACAAATTAAAATCTACTTCCTAATAAAGCATCATTTCTAGATTTATGGCTTCATTATTCTTCCCAGAAGCTTTTGTCAAGAGAAGTTGTCATTTGAAAGTGGGCTGACTTGATCTTCCCACTTGAAAAAATAAAAGCTCACTGGTTGTAAGTAAGCACAAATCCTGCTATTGCATAATCAAGTATGTGGGTGGAAGTGTTCACAATGAACAGTTTAAAAGGCAGTTCTCTGAAGTATCCAAACCCCAAGATCACATGGAAGTGTGTGTGTGTGTGTGTGTGTGTGTGTGTGTGTGTGTGTGTGTGTGTGTGTGTGTGTGTGTGTGTGTGTGTGTGTGTGTGTGTCTTTTGTTAGTCATGGTAACCAAGCAGGCTTCATCCTTAAAGAGAAAATGCAATATATCCAATGGCTTATTCAGTAACCTGAACACAAAGGCAAGTAGGTAATCCTCACTATACACTTCTCATTAAGGTATTTTAGAATTTAGTTTTCAATGCTAAACAGATCCAATATGCCACTGCAGACCTAAATATCAGACCTAAATGGCACTTCCTTGCCATACTTCTATACTACTTATACAACCAGAAAATGCTACTGCCATTAGTATTGTAAGAAAACTTAAGAGAAACTGGGCACCAGTGGCTCACACCTATAATTGAAGCTACCCAGGAGACTGAGATTGGAGAAGCTAGCCTGAGAAAGAAGGAAAGAAGGAAGGAAGGGAGGGATAAATCAAAGTTGGATTTCCTAGCAAGGCATCAAGGCCCCTGCCTGGAATCCTAGCTTCTCAGGAGGCTAAAATCTAAAGATCATGGTTTGAAGCAAGCCCAGGCAGGAAAGTCTGTGAGACTCTTATCTCTACTAAACTACCAAAAAGGCCTAAAGAGGAACTGTGGCTCAAGTGTTAAGAGTGCTAGCCTTGAGCAAAAGAAACTCAAGGGAAGGGGCTGGGAAGGTGGCTCAGTGGTATAGTGCTTGCCTCGCATGCATGAGGCCCTGGGTTCAATTCCTAAGCACCACATAAGCAGAAAAGGCTGGAAGTGGCTCAAGTGGTAGAGTATTGGCTTTGAGCTGAAGAGTTCAGAGACAGCACCAGGCCCAGAGTTCAGGCCCCACGACCGACAAAAAAAAAAAAACTCAAGGGAAGTGCCTAGGCCCTGAGTTCAAGGTCCCGCACACCAAAAAGAAAGTTAGATTTTTCTGATCTCAGCTACTAGGGATTACTGAAGTTCAAAGCCAACCTAGGTAAAAAGTTAGCAAAACTCCATCTCAATAAGCTAGGTATGGTAGCAAACATTTCACCTGTGATCCAGCTCTGCAAAAGTTCATAGATAGAGGCTCATAGTCCCAGGCAGAAGTAAAAGACCCTATAAAGTTGTCATGTCGAAAACGAATTTACAACTTTGGTGGTGGGGGGGAGGAGGATTAGGTGGGGGGGGGGGGGGGGAGGAGGGGAGGCTGGGAAGGGATGGGAAGGGTAAACAAAGGAAGAAGCTACAATGCTTGATAAGAAATGTACTCACTATCTTGCCCATGTAATTGTAACCCCTCTGTACAGTATTTTCACAATTAAAAAAAAAAAAAACTAATGAGAGAAAAAAAAAGACCCTATAAAGTATGAGACCCTATAACTAAAGCAAAAAAGGGTTGAAGGTATGACTCAAATCAGAGAGCACCTGTCTAGCAAGCATGAAGCCCTGAGTTTAAAACACCAGTAGCGTTAAAATATAGATTTCCTGTACTTTTTTTTTTTTTTTTTTGGTGCTGGTACAGAAACTTGAACTCAGGGCCTGTGCTCTGTCCCTTAGCTTTTTTTTTTTTTGGGTCTGGTCGTGGGGCCTGAATCTGGGCCTGTGCGCTGTCCCTCAGCTCTTGAACTCAAGGCTAGTGCTCTACCACTTGGGCCACAGCACCATATCTGGCTTTTTTCTTTTTGCTTATGTGGTGCTGAGGAATCGAACCCAGGACCTCGAGCATGCAAGGCAAGCGCTCTACCACTGAGCCACCTTCCCAGCCCCTCCCTTAGCTTTTTTTTTTTTTTGGGTCCGGTCGTGGGGCCTGAATCTGGGCCTGGGCACTGTCCCTCAGCTCTTCAGCTCAAGGCTAGTACTCTACCACTTGAGCCACAGCGCCACTTCCGGCTTTTTTTCTTTTTGCTTATGTGGTGCTGGGGAATCAAACCCAGGGCCTCGAGCATGCAAGGCAAGCGCTCTACCACTGAGCCACCTTCCCAGCCCCTCCCTGAGCTTTTTTACTCAAGGCTGATGGTCTATCACTTGAGCCCTACCTCAACTTCCAGCTTTTTGCTGGCTAATTAGAGATAAGATTCTCAGATTTTTCTGCTTGGGCTGGCTTTGAATCATGATCCTCTTATATCAGCCTCCTGAGTAGCTAAGATTACAGGCCTATACCACCAACACCCAACTTCTTATACTTCTTTACACAAAATGAGTTCAACATTTGAGGTATAATATCAAGTAATTAATTTTTAGATTATTGTACTTTTAAATATTCAACATACCCAGCTTACCAACACAAACATTTTTGAGAGGTTTAAATCTTTTTCTTATTTTTAACAGAAATATCATAAAACATAAATATCATACATACTTATGGGTATCATATGATATACTGATATATGTGCATATTGTGTTAAGCTCTGGGCTAGCGTGTGGCTCAGTTGCCTAGCAAGTACAAAGCCCTAAGTTGAAACACCAGCACCACCAAAAAATATTCACTGGGCACTGGTGGCTCATACTCAGGAGGGTGAGATCTGAGAATTTTGGTTCAAAGCCAGCCCAGGGTCTGGTGCCAGTGGCTCACACCTGTAATCCTAGCTACTCAAGAGGCTGAGATCTGAGGATCACGGTTCAAAGCCAGCCGGAGCAGGAACGTCCATGAGACTCTCATTTCCAGTAAACCAGAAAACTGGAAGTGGCACTGTGGCTCAAGTGGTAGAGCAGTTGCCTTGAGCTGAAGAGCTGAGGGACAGTGCCCAGACCCAGAGCTCAAGCCCCAGGACCAACAACAACAAAAAAAAAAAGCCATCCGGGACAGAAAGTCCACAAGACTCTTATCTCCAACTAACCACCAGAAAACTGGGAGTGGTGCTGTATACAGCTTAAAGTGGTAGAGCGCTATCCTTGAGCAAAAAGAGCTCAGGGACAATGCCCAGGCCTCTGAGTTCAAGTCCCAAGATCAACAAAAATTAAATAATGACTCAAAAAATAAATAAATAACGACTCACAGAGGGTTCCAGTGTAAAGTTTTAACTAGGTTACACTTATCTATAGCTTAATATAATTTCTTTTCATTCTCTTTTTCCAGCCATAAGGTCATAAAGAATTTATTTTGGTGGGGGGGGGGATTGTTTTTATGCCAGACCTGGGGCTTAACCTCAGAGCCTGGGCACTGTCCTTGAGCTTTTGTGCTCAAGGCTAGGGCTCTACCACTTTAAGTACAGCACTATTTCTGGCTTTTTGATCAACTGGAGATAAGAATTTCACAGACTCCTGTCCAGGCTGGTTTTGAACCACTATCCTCAGATCTCAGCCTCCTGAGTAGCTAGGATTATAGGCCTGAGCCACCAGCACAATGCTATCTTGCTGTTCTTAGGGGAACAAGTCAAATACCCACCAAATTTCCAATTATAAGACACACATATCCTGTCATTTCTACCTAGGAGTTGTTAACGGACATAAACAGCAAATGAATCTCAGGTTCATTTTTTTCTTCTTTTTTTTTTTGGGTCCGGTCATGGGGCCTGAACTCTGGGCCTGGGCGCTGTCCCTCAGCTCTTCAACTCAAGGCTAGCGCTCTACCACTTGAGCCACAGCGCCACTTCCGGCTTTTTTCTTTTTGCTTCATGTGGTGCTGAGGAATCGAACCCAGGGTCTCAGGCATACAAGGCAAGCGCTCTACCACTGAGCCACCTTCCCAGCCCCTTTTCTTCTTTTTAATTTATTTTTATTTCAGAGGTAATATACAGCAGGGTTACATTTACATACATCAGGTAATAAGTACATTTCCTTTTGTACAATGTCATCTGTTCCCTTATTTTCTCCCATACCCTCCTTCCCAGCTCCAGCCATGAGTGATATAGGTCACTTTCATCAGTGTCCAGTGTGCTCCATTGCTGCACTTTTTCTCAGGTTCACTTTTTAATTCAACAAATACTTACTAGGCGATTACCACATCATGCACTATGTTGGGCATACAGGTACAAGCAAAATATCTACAGTGCCTGTCCTGACATCTTCTTGGTCTCTACTCTGTTAGTCACTCAACTGCTTCATTTCCTTGGCCTCAACCTCCTCCTCTGGAAAATGGTTACATGAGACAATATCGCTAATTTCCATTTATTTTAGTGCTTTAGAGACACAAGATAGATTTTTTTTATATTTTTTTCTTTTCTTTTTTTTTTTGGGGGGGGGGTTCCGGTAGTGTGCCTGAACTCTGGGCCTGGGCGCTGTCCCTCAGCTCTTCAGCTCAAGGCTAGCGCTCTACCACTTGAGCCACAGCACCACTTCCGGCTTTTTTCTTTTTGCTTATGTGGTGCTGAGGAATCAAACCCAGGGCCTCATGCACGCAAGGCAAGCGCTCTACCACTGAGCCACCTTCCCAGCCCTTTTTAATGTTTTCATAAAATATCTCAGCTGAGCTCCCAGGTACGCTGGAAGTATGGCAGGTTAGACATTACCAAACTTTGAGATTCCTTTCAGACTAGCACTCCATGATTCTAAGACCACTCTAAGACTATTATTTGAGGGGCACAGCTAGTTTTTTGTTTTTGTTTTTTGTTTTTTTTGTTTTGCTTTTTTTGGGGGGTTCGGTCCTGGGGCCTGAACTCTGGGCCTGGGTACTGTCCCTCAGCTCTTCAGCTCAAGGCTAGTGCTCTACCACTTGAGCCACAGCACCACTTCCGGCTTTTTTCTTTTTGCTTATGTGGTGCTGAGGAATTGAACCCAGGGCCTCATGCATGCAAGGCAAGCGCTCTACCACTGAGCCACCTTCCCAGCCCCAGCACAGGCTAGTTATATTGCATATTACACAAAGAAAAACATGTCTTTTCCCAAGTTTTCTTGTAGTATTGTCCTAGTACTACATATACACAAGTTTTTTCTCCCCATGTTTTTCTATTTATATTGCAGAGACTTGTCTCAAATATGTCAGGGGCTTGTCTCAAAATCTCCTGAGTGCTAAGAATACATATGATACCATGCCTAGATTTAACAAATAGACTTCTTTCTCCTTCTCCCTCTTCCTTTCTCTCTGTCTTGCTCTTCTTGTCTCTGCAGAAGAGGGAGTTGTAGAAATTGAGGCTAAGATTTCATTCATGCTATGCAGGCAAACAATCTACCACCAGCTATATTCCCTAAACCTTCTTAAATTTTATTTTGCTAACTCTTTACTCAAGCTAGCCTCAAATTTATGATGTAGCCCAGACAAGGCTTGAGTAGCTGGGATTACATTCACTATGCTCAATTTAGACTTTTTTTTTTTGCTAGTCCTGGGGCTTGAACTCAGGACCTACGTGCTGTCCCTGAGCAAAAAGCTCAGGCTAGCACTCTACTGCATGAGCACTTCTCTGATTCCAGCTTTTTTGTTGGTGGTACAAGTCTCATGGATTTTTCTTCTTGGGCTGGCTTTGAACTGTGATCTTCAGAGCTCAGCTTCCTGAGTAGCTAAGATTACAACATGAGCCAACCATATCCAGCTTTAGACAAATTTCTTAATTGTACTGATTAATATATTGTTTAATCCAGCTATGCTTATCCTGAAATACCTAAGATCATATTAATCAAGAACATAAAAGAAGTGATATGCTCACCATCAGAGGAAGGTGGTGTGGTCCCAAGTGGTGTTACTGGGGTAGTTGGAGTGGGACTGACAGGGGTTGTCACCAACCCTATTTCTGGATGACTCTGAAAGAGGACAACAATGGGTAAGAAAATAGAAAATCCAGTTCTCCCTAAGCATCCTTTTCTGAATAGCCTAACTGATAGCCCTGGTCTTAGACTAAAGCTCACTAAGGAGGACTCAGGCATGTAGTTACCATGATTACTACTAATTCATGCTAGGTTCTAATAAGCCCTGTGGATTAGTTTTCATGAGGAAGCTAGGTTCTCATTATATAACTTTTTCTACAAAACCATACAAATAAAAATTGGAATAAGCTGGGCACCAGTGACTCACGCCTGTAATCCTAGCTACTCAGGAAGCTAAGATCTAAGGATTACAGTTTGAAGCCAGCCTAGGCAGGCAAGTCCATGAGATTCTTATCTCAAAATTAACCAACAGAGGGCTTGCATCAGTGGTTCACTTCTGTAATTCTCAGCTACTCAGGAGGCTCAGGTCTGAGGATAGCAGTTCAAAGCCAGGGGCTGGGAAGGTAGCTCAGTGGTAGAGCGCTTACCTTGCATGCCTGAGGCCCTGGGTTCGATTCCCCAGCACTACATAAGCAAAAAGAAAAAAGCCGGAAGTGGCGCTGTGGCTCAAGTGGTAGAGCGCTAGCCTTGAGCTGAAGAGCTGAGGGAGAGTGCTCAGGCCCAGAGTTCAGGCCCCACGACCAGACCAAAAAAAAAAGCAGTTCAAAGCCAGCCTAGGCAGGAAAGTCCCTAAGACTCTTATCTTCAATTAACCACCAGAAAACTGAAAGTGGTGCTGTGGCTCAAGTGGTAGAGTGCTAGCCTTGAGCTGAAAAGCTCAGAGATAGTGCCAAGGCCCGGAGCTCAAGCCCCACAACCAAAAAAAAAAAAAAAGAAACAACAACAACAAAAAAAATTAACCAACAGAAAAACAGAATTGGTACTGTGGCTCAAAGTGGTAGAGTATTAGCCTTGAGCAAAAGAACCTCATGGACAATGCCCAGGCCCAGAGATCAGGATCCAGGCCCCTCCAAAAAAAAAAAAAATGGAATAAATAAATTACTCAGATGATTTTACATGAAGAAGGGCATTGGTGGACCTGCCTACACATAGGAAGGGACTACTCTGACCATATCAACTTAAAATACATTTGTATACAGGGGGTAACAATGTTCAATAGGAAGTGTACTCATTACCTTGCTCATGTAACTGTAACCCTCTGTATAGTATTTTTTCAATAAAAAATTTTTTAAAAATACATTTGTAAACTTTCCTAATGACTACAGAATTGACCAAGAAATGCAGGGGAGCTCAGAGGGTCCAGTACTATAAAAAGAGCTATACTGCCTGGCGCCAGTGGCTCAGGCCTCTAATCATAGCTACTCAGGAGGCTGAGATCTGAGGATTGCAGTTTTCAGTTCAAAGCCAGCCTGGGCAGTAAAATCTGTGAGAATCATCTCCAATTAACCACCAGAAAACCGGAAGTGGCACTATGGCTCAAGTGGTAGAGCACTCACCTTAACTCAACTCTTAACAAATAAGCCCATGTGTGACTCTTCTTAATCTCCTTTTTTTTTCCTCCAATAGCTTTACCAGACCTTTACCTTTCTCACCTCTTCTTTTAAAACCATTTATAAAGTTTAAGTAACATGTTGGGCACTGGTGGCTCATGCCTGTAATCCTAGCTACTCAGGAGGCTGAGATCTGAGGATCGTGGTTCAAAGCCAGCTCGGACAGTAAAGTCCATGAGACTCTTATCTCCAATAAACCACTAGGAAACCGGAAGAGGCTCTGTGACTCAAGTGGTAGAGTGCTTGCTTTAAGATGAAGAGCACAAGGACAGCACCCATGCCTAAAGTTCAAGCCCCACAACTGGGGAAAAAAAAAAAAAAAATTAAGTAACACAAGAAACAGAGATGCCAGGCGCCGGTGGCTTCACGCCTGTAATCCTAGCTACTGAGGAGGCTAAGATCTGAGGATCAGGGTTCAAAGCCAGCTCCGGCAGAAAAGTCCATGAGAGTCTTATCTCCAATAAACTACTCAAAAACGGGAAGTGGCATATGGCTCAGGCAGTAGAGCACTCCCCTTGAGCTGAAGAGTGCAGGGACAGCACCCAGGCCCAGAGTTCAAGCCCCACGATGACAAAAAAGAAAAAAGAAACATAAAATTTCTTATGTTGTCAATAATAAAATTTGATAAGTGGCTCTCATCTGTAATCCTAGCTATTCAAGAAGCTGAGAGCTAAGGATCATGGTTTGAAATCAGCCCTGGCAGGAAAGTCTGTGAGACTTTTTTTTTATTTTTTTTTTTGGGGGGGGGGGGGGTCAGTTATGGGGCTTGAACTCTGGGCTTGGGCACTATCCCTGCACTCTTCAGCTTAAGGTGAGCACTCTACTGCTTGAGCCACAGTGCCATTTCTGGTTTTCTAGTGGTTTACTGGAGATAAGAGTCTCACAGACTTTCCTGCCCTGGCTGGCTTTGAATCATGATCCTCAGATCTCAGCCTCCTGAGTAGCTAGGATTACAGGTGTGAGCCACCGGTGCCCTGTGTAGTTTGTGAGACTCTTATCTCCATTAACCTGTAAGTGGTGCTGTGGCTCAAGTAGTAAAGCCTTAGTTTTGAGCAAAATAAGCTCACATAGCCAGGTACTGGCTATGTGTGGTTCAAAGCCAACCTGGGCAGGAAAGTCCATGAGACTCTTAACTGGAATTAGCCACCATAAAAACAGAAGTGGTGTGTGGCTCAAAGTGGTAGAGCGCTAGCGTTGAGCTGAAGAGTTCAGCAACCAAGCCCAGAGTTCAAGCCCCAAGACTGAAGCAAACAAAAAAGCAGCAGCAACTCAGGGAGAGCACCCAGGCCCCAATACTGGCACATACACATACATACACATACAAAAAAAGAAAAACTGTTAACTGTTCTCCAAAGTAGACCTAAACCAGAATACTGCTTTTAAAGCATGACCTTTTTTTATTTTTTTAAGGACTTCATCAGTGGATTCTATTCCATTCTGGCCTTTGAAGAAAAAAAAGCAAAAGTAAAATTTCCCTTAAAAGAAACCTACATACATATTTTAAGCAGTCTGGCTTTAAGATAAAAATACTTTATCAATTTTTTAAGATAGCTTCCATGAACTTGAGTTCTCAGCCTATTTTAGTCCCCTTCTGTGCCAACTACAAGGATATCCCTTAGGCATGTGACCCAGCACTCTATATTCTACATCTTTCTGCTCTCATTGCTTATACAACAATCTGTCCATTAATAACTATCCATGTCTACTAGGTAGGATATTTTTTTACTTTTCTTCTCTAGATATTGGTAAGATAACATGAGTGGCTTAGCCCATTTTATCTCTACTTCTGAGTCTATAGGGGTTTAGAAAGAAGAAAGGGTGATGCCACTCAGAAAACCAGAGGTGGCTCAAGTGGTAGAGCACTCGCCTTGAGCTGAAGAGCTGAGGAACAGCACCCAGGCCCAGAGTTCAAGCCACACGACCAAAAAGAAAAAAAAGAAAGAAAGAAGAAAGGGTGATTTAAAAAAAGAACAAACTAGCCGGGTGCCAGTGGCTTAGGCCTGTAATCCTAGCTACTCGGGAGGCTAAGATCTGATGATCATGGTTCAAAGCCAGCATGGGCAGGAAAGTCCGTGAGACCCTTGTCTCCAATAAACCACCAGAAAATCGGAAGTGGCGCTGTGGCTCAAGTGGTAGAGCGCTTGCCTTGAGCTGAAGAGCTGAGGGACAGCGCCCAAGCCCAGAGTTCAAGCCCCAAGACAGACCAAAAAAAAAAACAAACTTAAGAGATGGAGTTCAGGCAGGAATAAGGCCTTCCTGAGTTCATATTCCAGCACAAGTTCATATAGTAAATAATATCAGGAATTAAGAAAAAAGCAGAATTTAAACAGGTACAACCAGGCAGGCTCTTCAATATAATGAATCTGTGTGAAATTCAAGGAGAGGGGTGGAATATAGTTCAACTTGCTTAGTATGTTTAAGGTCCTAGGTTAAATCACTAGAACTTTCACCCCCCAAAAAAAAGTTTTAAGGGAGAAAAAGCAGATTGTTAACATAACCAACCTGAGCTAATACTGTGATGAAGTTGCGATTTAAATGAACAGCTTCATAAAGTGCCAGAAGAATGGCCTCATTGGTTCTAAAGAAAAAGAAAAAAAATTAGAATGCCTCTTAGAGAAAAGGATTTAAAACATTATATATAACCAGAAAAATCAGATTTCTCAGATGCTAGTGGCTCATGTCTGCAAACCTACATATTCAGAGGCTGAGATATGAGGATCACAGTTCAAAGCCAGCCCAAGCAGGAAAGTCTATGAGACTCTTATCTCCAATAAACTACTCAGAAAAAGCCAGAAGCGGTGCCATGGCTCAAGTGGTAGAATGCTAGTCTTGAGCAAAAGAAGCTCAATGATAGCACCTCAGACCCACAGTTCAAGCCCTGGGACCCGCCAAAAAAACAAAAGCAACAACAAAAAAAACTTAAGATTTTACCAAAGGTCTTCCTCATCATCTCCCTTTAAGGTTTTTATTTTGTTTTTGCGTCCCAAAACAAAAAGTTTATTTATAAAATACTGAAAGTATGATACAACATGAGGTTTGTAGCATATATTTCAAATCATTTTCTCTCTGATCTTTCATTGTAAGAAATAAACTGGGGGGGGGGGGAGTTATGGAGGTAGGAGGGAATATGGATGGTAGGAGAAAAGCAAAGGAGGAGGCAACAATGCTCAATAGGAAATGTATTCATTTACCTTGTTCATGTACAGTATTTTTACAATAAAAAAAACGTATGAAAAATAAACCTGCTGGGCTGGAAAGGTGGCTCAGTGGTAGAGTGCTTGCCTTGCAAGCCAGAGGCCCTGGGTTCGATTCCTCAGCACCACCGGAGGCCCTGGGTTCGATTCCTCAGCACCACATAAGCAAAAAGAAAAAAGCCGGAAGTGGCGCTGTGGCTTGAGTGGTAGAGTGCTAGCCTTGAGCTGAAGAGCTGAGGGCCAGCGCCCAGGCCCAGAGTTCAAGCCCCACGACCGGACCCAAAAAAAAAAAAAAAAAACCTGCTAACAAGCTGTAAGACATTTATATATATATATATATATATATATATATATATATATATATATACATATATACATATAATATGCACACGTGCACGCACGCATGCACACAAACACACATATATTCTTACAGATAGGCACTTGCCATAATAATGTATACTCTCCCCATAATTTTTTATTATATCTTCTACTTTTCAGTTTTTAATGTTCTCTTTACTTCTCCTTTCAGTATATGCAAAAGCATGTAGGTAAGGAATCTAATTCTTTAGAACCAATTCTTAACCTTCTTCAATTACTGTCTCTCATCTCATTTTTCCATCCCCATCCGGTCAAAACTTTAACTAGCTCAAATACACAGTCATCTTTTATTTCATTTGAAATAGCTGGGAATAGTTTTTAGCTTCTAGGGACCATTTATACATGAAACTAAATTGGATTTCTAAAGGTCCAGTATTATTTAAAACCAAAGAAACAATTTAAAAATTGCACAAAAAAGTTTTAATTTGTAAAAGATTAACAAGAGGTAACGTTCTCCACTCTCATACCCAATAGAAAAGCCCATACTAAAGTCCAAGTCAACTCTACAAGAATGCCAGATACTTACTGTACTGAAATTTTCTCATGGGCATCCGCTATGAACATGCTGCCCACCTGTGGAAGAAAAGGGGAATTGCAGACTTAATGTAGGAGGATCTGAAAGTTTAATCAGTGAAAGACGAAACTGCTTCTAGTAGGAAGGAACCTGAAACTCTGGACACACACACCCCAAACCAGACCACTTTGAAGATCTTAAAAAACTTGCAAGTAATACATTATATAACGAGAGCCTTACCATATCATCTTTTCTTAAAGGAACTAAAAGATATCCCTATACTTTTTTCCCAGCCCTTCACCTTTTTTTTTTGGTCAGTTGTGGGGCTTGAACCTTGGGCTTGGGCACTGTCCCTCAGCTCTTCAGCCCTGGGTTCCATTCCTCAGTACCACATAAACAGAAAAAGTCGGAAGTGGCACTGTGGCTCAAGTGGTAGAGTGCTAGCCTTGAACAAAAGAAGCACAGGGACAGTGCCCATTCCCTGAGTTCAAGCCCCAGAACTGGCAAAAAAAAAAAAAATAGTGTCACCAGGACTAGTGACACATACTTGTAATCCCAGCACTCAGGAAGCCTCAGAAGCAAGATGATTTTGAGTTTAAGGCTAACCTATCTTCCAACCCCCAAAATATTTAGTTCCACATTATCTGGCCCATGTTGTCAAAGTTAAGAAACCTTGTTCTGGAATATTACAAATTTGACCAATATCTTTTCTAATCCTCATATGTCTCCCCTTAGAACCTAAGCCTTTACATAAATGACTTAAATCTACTATATAACCATTCAACCCCTGGACCAGCTACTAGGAAATCACAAAGCCAAAGAACACTACAAAAGAGCACTTGTACACAAATCCTCTGATTTTGTGTTCGACAACTCAGGGTCAGGGGCTGAGAATGTGGCTTAGCTATAGAGTGCTTGCCTAGCATGCATGAAGCCCTGGGTTTGATTCCTCAGCACCACATAAACAGAAAAAGCCAGATGTGGCACTGTGGCTCAACTGGTAAAGTGCTAGTGTTGAGCAAAAAGAAGCTCAGAGACAATGCTCAGGCCCTGAGTTCAAGCCCCAGGACTGGAAAAAAAAAAAATCAAGGTTAGTCTGCAAAGTCACCAACTTTTCTGAGATGGAGATGTTGCTACGTTGATCAAACTGGTCTCAAAAGTGTGGGCTATGCTAGGCACCAGTGGCTCACTCCTGCAATCCTAGCTACTCAGGAGGCTGAGATCTGAGGATAACAGTTCAAAGCCAGCCCAAGCAGGAATGTCCAAGAGATTCTTATCTCCAATTAACCACCAGAAAATCGGAAGTGGTGCTGTGGCTCAAGTGGAAGAGCACTAGCCTTGAGCTGAAGAGCTGAGGGACAGCGCCCAGGCCCAGAGTTCAAGTCCCATGACTGACAAAAAAAAAAAAATGTCGGCTATATAGATCTTCTTTCCTTAGACAATTAAGTAGCTGGGACTACAAGTACTTGCCATCACACTTGGCCCCAGGATGATTTTTTAAGAAACAAAAGACTGACTTAATATGTATTTCCCTTCTTTCTCTCTTTCTCTCTTTCTTTCAAATAGGGTTTTACTATGTAACTCAGGCTGGCCTTGACCTCACAGTCCTCCTGTCTGAATCTACAAAGTACTGGGTTTATAAATAGGTGACACCATCCCTAGCTATACATTTACTATACAAATTAAGGAAAAACTTAGCCAGGTGCCAGTGGCTCTTGCCTGTAATCCTAGCTACTCAGGAGGCTGAGATCTGAGAATCTCAGTTCAAAGGCAGCCTGGGCAGGAAAAGCCGAGAAACTCTTATCTGCAATAAATCACCAGAAAACTGGAAGTGGTGCTGCAGCTCAAGTGGTAGAGCACTAGCCTTGAACTGAAGAGCTGAGGGACAGCATTCAGGCCCAGAGTTTTATTTATTTATTTATTTATTTATTTATTTATTTATTTATTTATTTATTTTGTCAGTCATGGGGCTTGAACTCTGGGCCTGGGTGCTGTCCCTCAGCTCTTCAGCTCAAAGCTAGCGCCCTACCACTTGAGCCACAGTATCACTTCTGGTTTTCTGAGTGGTTTATTGGAGATAAGAGTCTCAGGGTCAGGGCTGGGAAGGTGGCTCAGTGGTAGAGCGCTTGCCTTGCATGCCTGAGGCCCTGGGTTCGATTCCTCAGCACCACATAAGCAAAAAAAAAAAAAAAAAAAAAGCCGGAAGTGGCGCTGTGGCTCAAGTGGTAGAGTGCTAGCCTTGAGCTGAAGAGCTGAGGGACAGCGCCCAGGCCCAGAGTTCAGGCCCCACGACCGGACCCCAAAAAAAAAAAAGTCTCAGGGTCTCTCCTGCCTGGGCTGGCTTTGAACTGTGATCCTCAGATCTCAGCCTCCTGAGTAGCTAGGATTACAGGCGTGAGCCACCGGCCCCCCTGCTTTTTTTTTTTTTTTTTTTTTTTTTTGGTCATGCCCAGAGTTTAAGCCCCATGACTGACAAAAAAGAAAAAAAAATAAAATAAAATAAACTTAGTCTCAGAGAAATCAAAGCTTCCCTGCCACTATTTTACCTAATTTTAGAACTTGATAGAAAATATGATTCCAAATGAAATTGTTCTAAGAAGCCTCTATTCACTCATCATGCCACAAAACTCCTGAGTTCAGATTTGCCTACCCTAAAGAGCTCCTGTATTTCTCACCATGAAAAATAAAAACAAGCAGGACTTACCATATTTGTTAAAGCAGAGAAAAAACCACTCTGGTGTTCTTCTTCTTTGTCTTTATACTGCCTGAACAAATTAAAATTAATTCAACTTTTGGATTATTTATCAAGAATGTCTTTGACTCTAACATTCTAGATAATCAGGGAACGAAACTCTTAAAATTCTGATTCCAGAAAACTAAAGCATCATAACAATCCAGCCACTGGTATTCTCTTCTCAAGCTAAAAGATATCTACCTGCTCTTGAGATAGTATGCACTAAAATGCCTGAAAGATTTAGAAAGGGCCGGGCGCTGGTGGCTCATGCCTGTAATCCTAGCTACTCAGGAGGCTGAGATCTGAGGATCGCGGTTCAAAGCCAGCCCAGGGAGGAGAGACCGTGAGACTCCTATCTCCAATAAACCACCAGAAAACCGGAAGTGGCGCTGTAGCTCAAGTGGTAGAGCACTCGGCTTGAGCTGAAGAGCTGAGGGACAGCGCCCAGGCCCAGAGTTCAAGCCCCACGGCCGACCAAAAAAAAAAAAAAAAAAGACTTAGAAAGGAAGCTGCAAAATGTGAAACTAACACAAAGGTTATACAGTTATTTCCTAGAATATTACTTGAAAAGTGTAATAATGAACTTTAAGTATATAACAGTAAAAACTTTGTTTGTGTCTGACAGAAGAGGAAAATTGGAAAGCTAAAATATTCGCAGAGATGGGACATATTTGAAGTCCCAAAACCCAACTGTGTGTACAGAAAGTCTGCAAAGCAACAAGAAAGTTTCTACCTGGGCTTTAGCAGCATCACTGATATTTCTAGTTTCTATTCATGGAATACCAAATTGACAGCAAGAAGAAAATCAGGCATCAATGAACACACACACAAACACACACCACCAAACAAAGCCTGGGAAGTTGAGTTTGATTACTAATGTGAAATGAACATTTGCTTTGGAGTATAACTCAGTGATAGTGCATGCTTAGCATGCATAAGACCCTGAGTTCAATCCCTAGGACCACAAAAAGGGGGGAGGGAAGAGAAGGGGAGGAGAGAAGTAGGGAGGAAATGGCAGGACAGTGTAGGGCCATGGGGAGGAAAAAAGAAAAATAAAAGTGGTGCTCCAAAAGCTTCTTTATGTAGAAAATGCTATTTTATTTATTTATCTATTTTGGTCAGTTGTGGTGCTTGAACTCTGGGCCTGGGCGCTGTTCCTAAGCTCTTCAGCTCAAGGCTAGTGCTCTACACTTGAGCCCAAGTGCCACTTCTGGCTTTCTGGTGGTTAACTGGAAATAAGAGTCTCATTAACGTTCTTTCCTGAGCTGGCTTTGAACTGCAATCCTCAGATCTCAGCCTCCTAAGTAGCTAGGATTACAGGCGTGAGCCACAGGTGCCCAGCAGAAAATGCTATTTTTACTAACTTTGTACTATTTTCTCTCCTGGAATTAGAAATCCCTAACACAACAGGCTGAACTAAAGCAAATACAATCAGCTATACATCTGAATATTCTTTTGGAGAGGTCTCTCTGACTTCTTCATCTACATATTGTATCAAACCAGTTTCCTACTCAACCCAATCCAATGAAAATCAGACTTTTTTCCTCTTGAATAGTAGACTTACCTGTTGTATTCAGACAAAGCTTGAGCAATCACAAGCCCCATTCCCTGGAAGAGAAAAGACAGCATAACTGCCTTTGGGGATTAGTGGCAATGTTATAAGTCAGCCAGAAGAACATTAAACCTCTATGGTTTGTGCCCAAGAAGTTCTGTCTGAGAAGCACTGTTAAAGTAGAAAAACAATGTTTTTCTTTGGAAGGAGTTTTTTTTGTTTTGGGGAGTTTGTCAGTCATGGGGCTTGAAGTCAGGGCCTAGGCACTGTCCTGAGCTGTTTTGCTCAAGGCTAGTGCTTTTGGCTTTCGGTGATTGACTGGCAATAAAATTCTCACAGACTATCTTGCCTCCACTGGCTTCAAACTATGATCCTCAGATCTCAGCCTCCTGAGTAACTAGGATTACAGGCATAAGCCATTAGAACCCAGCTTTGGAAAGATTTTCTTATCTAATTATCTTATAAATGTTCCCAAGATATGCTTTAAAATAGAGTAGCAAGAGGTAAAATACCAGCCCAGATTACTGACAATTTTACTGGGATCATTTTCACTTCCAAAAAGACTAAGCTAGAATATTCAAACAAAGAGCACTCATATATCTCCAAAACAAGCATCATAAAAGTGATAAAGAACTAGATGTTGGTGCCTAATGCTTATAATCCTAGTTATTCAAGGAGGCTAAAACTTAGAAGATCATGGTTTCAAAGTCAGTCCAGGTAGAAAAGTGTTGAGACTCTATCTCTAATTAATGAACTTTCCTCATAATAGGCACTGTGTTACTGTTTATAAAGGAAATTAACAGAAATGAGCAGACAGTCTCCTGGCAATCTTCTTCACCCTTATATTCAAGGACAGATGTGATTTTGAAAACTTTCAAGAGAGAGAAAGAGAAAATGTATGTGTGCATGTGTGTGCACACGTGTGCCGTGCATGCATGTATGTATGAGAGAGCAAGAAAAAGAAAGACCTTTTATGCTTTAATTTCACCAACTTAGGCTATAAATATCATTGAGCTAGTTCCACAAAAATAAATTTTTCATGATAGCCAAATTATGAAAACATCCAGATGCCCTACATTAGATGAAATGATCAAGAAAACGTGGTACATATATACAATGGGATTTTATTCCTCTATTAGAATGAATAATATCATTTGCAGGGAAATGAATGGCCCTAAAAAATTATGGGGCTGGGAAGATGGCTCAGTGGTAGAGTATTTGCCTTGCATGCATGAGGCCCTGGGTTTGATTCCTCAACCCCACACAAGCAGAAAAAGCCGGAAGTGACACTGCGGCTCAAGTGGTAGAGCGCTAGCCTACCACTTGAAGCTGAGGGACAGTGCCCAGGCCCAGAGTTCAGGCCCTACGACTGACAAAAAAAAAAAAATAGCCAAGATGGAGTTCATTAACTCCATCTCCAGAATAATCAACAAAAAGTAGAATTGAGGCATTGGATCAATTGATAAAGTACCAGCCTAGCAAGCAGCAAATCCTCAAGTCAAACCTGAATACCATCAAAAATAAAAAATAAACAAAGACCACTGCATGCACTAGAGAATAAACAAGACTCCATATACTCACATTGAGTGTAGCCTCATCATCCACGATAGACAGCTTCACAATATAAGGATTCACAGACTGTTGAATAATAGTAAAGTCAAGGTGAGTATGGCTATATAAGATAACTCATTACCTAATTAAGAAAGTCTACACTTTCTATAAGGCCCTGTTGATGCTCCCAAAATCCATCCCCAAGACACCTGGCCTGCTGACTAATTCATTTCCAGTAAATCTCTCAGCACATATGGCTATTTGTCAAGTGGACATGCACATGTGCAAACAAAAACACACAAACATTAGTTCTATTCTACCTGTATTTTTTTCTAGACTAAATTAGCTCAGACTTATTTCCGCCCATCTTTCTCTCTTACTGGTTTCTAAAAAGTAAGTGATGGGCTGAAGGTGTGGCTCAAGCACCTGCTAACAAACAAGAGGCCCTGAGTTCAAACCCCAGTATTGACAAATAATACATGAATGAGAAAACAGAAAGAAAGTATATACCACACAAAACACACTTTGCCCTACTCCACTGAGTCCATAGGGATAGGTGTCTTTTGGGTGATATAAAAGCTTCTTTGCCATAAGGCACAAATTTTTAAGTTGCCAACTTACATCCTCATCCCAAAGGCTTCCTAACCATTTCACAAACTATATGCAAGGACTGATTTACCCACCCGTAAAACAAAGCCAACTTGGGGGTAAAAGTGGCAGCTGGTTAACAGCCAGAGAGGCCATTTATGAAGATCTGATACCCAAATAACACCACAGGGGGAACTGAAAAAAAGGATGTAATTACCCAAGCAACAATCTGGTCAGGACACTGGGATTTAATGACTGTCCCATCACTTTAACACTGGAAGAGTTCTTGAGTTTTCCCAGACCCAATCTTAGCTGAGCAGCATATGGAAATGTACATATACTTAAACTCTTATTAAACAACTAGACCATCTCCTGAAGTAGACCAAAACCAAAGACCTGCTCACCTTGAAAACATCCCACCCATAGGATGTAAATAAACAACTCATACAGATCAGGCACCAATTCCAGAGTCAAGTAACAATAATTCTCAGACTGGCAGTTTTTACAGCTACCAAGAAAACTCATTACTAAGATACTTGAAAACCCAACTGAAAGACTAACCCCCCACATAGACCTCATTTAATCAAGTTTCTGAGGGCATCTTCCACATGTCAACGGGGAAAAGAAAAGGAGTGTTCTGCTTTCTTAACAGCCCAACTGTTTATAAGGTTTTAGACAACACAATCCAGTGAAGTAGAAACCATTCTACTTTTTTCTTGATCTGACAGAAGGAAGGCTCTCAATATGTCTTCTTACAACCAACAGTCAAATCATGCTGATGCTAGACTTCCAGCAAAATCCAATGCATATGGATCTCTGGAAAGGAAAGTCAGCAGTTGGCTGACCAATAGATGATGCCAGTAACATTAGAAACAGTGAACCATTGTTGTTTGGCATAATTTTTGAAGATCCTCATCACTTTCACAAAAATAGACTATTAAGTAATAATAAGGATCATTTGATTAGCAAGACAGCATATATGTTAGTAGCAAAAGACTAAATGGCTAAGAGTAATGGTTTGAGTTCTAGTTCAGTTTTTATTAATTGTGACAAGAAATACAAATTAGGTGCTGGGAAGGTGGCTCAGTGGTAGAGCGCTTGCCTTGCATGCCTGAGGCCCTGGGTTTGATTCCTCAGCACCACATAAGCAAAAAGAAAAAAGCCGGAAGTGGCGCTGTGGCTCAAGTGGTAGAGTGGTAGCCTTGAACGGAAGAGCTGAGGGACAGCGCCCACGACCTGACCCAAAAATAAATAAATAAATAAAATATTTCTAAAAAAAGAAACACACATTAATTAACCTAAGCTTCAACTTCCTCATCTGTAAAATAAGGGTATTTTCTCCCTTGATGTTGCCATAAGGCTTAAATTAGACATGTAAAATCCTTAGCACAATATCTAGTATATTTGCAGTTGTATTTTCTGCTCTTTGATATTATCATATTCAAAGGGAAGTTCTTTAGGAAAACGAAAGAAGGGAAAAGGAAAAGGAATAAACTACAAATAGGCATAATGAACAATTTTATAACTTAGGGAAACATCAGGTTCAGAGAGGCAGTTAAGGTTTAAGTCACTTAAATTTGTAAAATTTATTATTATGGGCTGGGAAGGTGGCTCAGTGATAGAGCGCATGCCTTGCATGCCAGAGGCCCTGGGTTCGATTCCTCAGCACAATATAAGCAAAAAGAAAAAAGCCGGAAGTGGCGCTGTGGCTCAAGTGGTAGAGCGCTAGCCTTGAGCTGAAGAGCTGAGGGACAGCACCCAGGCCCAGAGTTCAGGCCCCACGACCGGACCCAAAAAAAAAAAAAAAAAAAGAAGTGATATATGGAGGGGTTACATTTACATGAGTCAGGCCATGAGTACATTTCCTTTCATACAATGTCATCTGTTCCCTCATTCTCTCCCAGTCCCTCCCTCCTGTCTCCACGCATGAGTTGCACAGTTCACTTTCATCATGTCCAGTGAGCTTCACTACTTCACTTTTTCACCATTTTTCCCTCAAAATCTGTGCCCTCCCCAACCTCCCAAAGATATACATGTGAATACCCCACACAATCATCAGAAAACTAAAAAAGAAAAAAAAAAGGCTGCTGTTTCCCTATCTTAGGAGTTTGTTTCAGTATGTGTATTATTTTATATAAATAAGAAGAAGTGCTTAGGCATCGCACTTCTGTGATTCTCTCCTAAGACTATTCTCTTTTGGTCTCACTGTATACGAGTATCTAGACACCTGTGTAATTTGTTATATTCTAGTGAGTTTTAGATCTAACTTCCGCATATCAGGGAGAACATGCAATATTTGTCTCTCAGGTCTTGGCTTACATCATTTAACATGATTTGTTCTAGTTCCATCCATTTTCCTTTTTTTTTTTTTTTTTTTTGGGTCCGGTCGTGGGGCCTGAACTCTGGGCCTGGGCGCTGTCCCTCAGCTCTTCAGCTCAAGGCTAGCGCTCCACCACTTGAGCCACAGCTCCACTTCCAGCTTTTTTCTTTTTGCTTATGTGGTGCTGAGGAATCGAACCCAGGGCCTCAGGCATGCAAGGCAAGCACTTCTACCACTGAGCCAATTTCCCAGCCCCCATCCATTTTCCTATAGCTGACATTATTTTATTCTTTCTAATGGCTGTGTAAAATTCCATCATGTATAGGTATCACATTTTTTAGATCCACTCATCTATTGTGGGGCATCTGGGCTGTTTCCATATCTTGGCTATTGTGAATAATACAGCAATGAATATGGATGTGCAGGTATCCTTATCATATTCTGGTTCATGATGATCAGGGTAGATGCCTAGGAGTGATATGACTGGGTCACAGGGAAGGTCTATGTTTAGTTTTTTGAGGAACCTCCAGACTGCTTTCCAGAGTGGTTATGCTAGTTTACACTCCCACCAATAACGCAACAGGGTGTCTTTTTCCCCACATTCCCACCAGCATTTGTTGTTCAAATTCAAAATGTCAACCAATCTAACTGGGGTAAGATGGTATCAGCGTTCTTTTGACCAGGCACCAGTGGCTCACGCCTGTAATCCTAGCTACTCAGGAGGCTGAGATCTGAGGATCACAGTTCAAAGCCAGCCCGGGCAGGAAAGTCCGTGAGACTCTTATCTCCAATAAAAACCACTAGAAAACCGGAAGTGACACTGTGGCTCAAGTAGTAGAGTGCCTGCCTTGAGCTGAAGAGCTCAGGGACAGCGCCCAAGCCCAGAGTTCAAGCCCTACCACTGACAAAAAAAAAAGAAGAAATGTTCATCATCCCTTTCTATAGAGGAACTGCAAGTCAAAACAACTTTTTTTTTTTTTTGGTCGGTTGTGGGGCTTGAACTCTGGGCGTGGGCACTGTCCCTGCACTCTTCAGCTCAAGGTAAGCGCTCTACCACTTGAGCCACAGTGCCACTTCCAGTTTTCTAGTGGTTTATTGGAGATAAGAGTCTCACAGACTTTCCTGCCTGGGCTGATTTTGCACTGTGATCCTCAGATCTGAGCTTCCTGGGTAGCTAGGATTACAGGCATGAGCCACCAGCACCTGGCTTCCTCATGTGTTTCATTGCCATTCTTATCTGTTCTTCTGAAAAGTCCCTCCTTAGCTCCCTTGCCCATTTAGTGATTATTTTTTTAAGTTTGGGAGGGATTAGTTTCTTGAGCAGCTTGAATATATTGGATATTAGACCTCTGTCTGATGTATTGCTGGTAAAGATCTTTCCCAGTTGGTTGGCTGTCTTTTTAGTAATTATGTCCTTAGCTACTTAGTAATTATGTCCTTAGTAACTATGTCCTTTTTATTTTTATGTAGTTCCACTTGTCAAGTCCCTCTCCTATCTGTTGTACCCCTGGGACTCGATTCTAGAAGTTTCTGCCTATACCTATAAGTCCAAATATTCCTGCTACTCTCTCTCTTTAAGTAGTTTCAAAGTTTTGGGTCTGATGTTGAGGTCTTTGATCTAACTTTGAATTGATATTAGTGCATGGTGACAAGCAGGGATTTACTTTTAGTTTTCTGCATATGAAGGCCAGGATCTTAATGCTAGGAAATATCTATTTCCCTGACACTTTTTTTTTTTTGGTAGTGGGGCTAGAACTCAGAGCCTAGGTACTATCTCTAAGCTTTTTTCGCTCATGTCTAGCACTCTACCACTTTGAGCCACAGCTCCACTTCCAGTTTTCTGGTTGTTAATTACAGATTAGAGTCTCGCAGGTTTTCCTGCTTGGACTTGTTTCAAACTGCAGTCCTCAAATCTCAACCACCTTAGTAGCGAGGATTACAGGTGTGAGCCACCACCACCTAGCTCCCATTATTCTTAACATTATATTCTTGTTAATAGCTTCTTTGGTTTTTATGTTTTTTTCTTTTGTGCCAGTACTAGGGCTTGAATTCATGTCCCTTTGCTTTTTCCCTCAAGGCTAGAGCTTTACCACTTGAGCCATAGCTCCATTTTTGGCTTTTTTGGTTGGTTAACTAGAGATGAGAATATCATGGACTTCCCTGCCCAGGCTGGCTTTAA